TGTTTCTATGTACTTAATTAAATTTTTTCATAAAAAGATATTACATAACAAAAATGTTATAGCCGAATTCCCGAATCGTCTTTTTTCGATGGTGTCTTGCGGTGGACATGATTTCTCGAAAACGGTTCATCCGAAATCCAAAATTCAAAAAAGTTTAGTTAGTATTTTGTATTATCTAGTCCGTGAACGAGGGATTTTTTAAAATTTTGATTAAAAAAAAAATGGCGACGTTTGAAACAAAAAATTTACTTTTTCAAGGTATAAGATTTTCGTTTTTTGTGCTTTAAAAAGGGAGTTTTCAAAAAAATGGAAAATCCCTCGTTCACGGACTAGCTAATATCATAATAAATATGTGGTCAAAATTTGGTGTTGATCGGATTAGTAGTTTTTTAGTAATCGTGTCCACCGCAAAGGTAATTTCCCAAAAAAAAGATTCTGAGATAATCGCGTTTAAAGTTTCAAGTTTGTTCAAGTTTTATATGCAGATAGTGTGCTATAAATAGCTACAGCTTCGGATCTAATGCTCCGATCGTTATCAATTTTTGTGGGAGTACACCCAATAGAATATACTTAAAGAATATGCAATAAAAAAAAAATCGATTTTTTCATATATCACAACTGTATATAACCCCTTAAATGCCCTGTCCTGCCTTGAGCGTTCTGCTCCGTACTTTTGTTTGCGGGAAATCGCTGGAATTAGCTCAGTTTTTGTGGTATTAATAAATAATTTGCAAACGAGGCAAGATATTTTACAAGTTTTTGAAGCAAATTAGGCGTGTCCCACTCCCGCCCCATTGTATTTTTTGGCCCCACACTTACAGCTGCTCCGCATTTCCTTCCTAAACAGTCAAATTTCGCAAAAGGCGAAATTAAGACTATGTTCTGAATTAAGAATTTATATATTATTAAAATTATAATTAATAATTATTAGTATTAACAAATAGTATAAGCCTGAAGCATGACAATCCATTTTAAATTGTATTTATTTTTGCATCGTCGTTCAAGAAATATTAATTTGAAAGCACACAACAAAATAAAGCAAAATGCTTTATTTTGTGTGAGTGTCGTGGGGCGTCACTACTCCTTGCGCGGTGACGTCGCCTTCATAAGAGTGAAGGTAGAGTGTTTCAAATTCCCAGGCTTTGGTACCTCAACCACTCACTATACGCCTTGCTGGATAGTTGAGAAGCGTATCTACGCTTCTACCCACTCTACGCTTCTCTGCATACGGGAAAAGCACATCACTTTTCGTTGCACTGGGACTCATACTACCGGACACGGAATACGCATATCGCGCCCTAAGAAGTTTCACTTCAAAAAACCTTAACTCAAATATGAGATAAGTCTTAGGTGTTTCGTCTGAGGAACCACTTGAACCACGACGACCAGCAGGTAGCTTATATCGCATAAACGAAAAACGCCCGGGCGAGACAAGGCCAGGCCCGGACGACCGAGGGGCGCTCGAAAAACGAATAATTAGTAAATATTAAGCTATTTGTAATATATTAAGCTAGAAGGTGTTAGTAAGGAAATTTAAAATTCTTTACTTAAAATTTGATGGACAGGAGAGAAATGTTATAGAGTAGAGACCATTGTAGTTCGAACTTAAGACCTTTAGGGTCGTGTTGTGCTCTAATAGGACGCCGAGATTATTAACCTGAGCGTATTTCTCTAAGGCAATCCCATAAAAAGTATACGAAGCCTGCAGAGGGCAAGAACAATAAAAAGATTGCATTTTGATCCATTAAGTATTAAATTGTTAGCTGAACACCATTTTTGAAAGTTATCAAGGTCAGACTAAAGACTGCATTGGGCAGAGATGGATTTGTATTGAAGATAAAGCTTTACAGCATCTGCATACATAAGAACTAGAGAGTTCGTTAAAGCAGAGGGCAAGTCATTTATAAAAAAAGTAAATAATAACGGGCGAAAATGACATCCTTTAGGGACGCCAGATGTAGCACGGACTAGACGGGAACGTGTGTTTTTAAATAAGACCCTTTGTGTCCTTCCATAGAAGGTCTATAGGTCTATAGAAAATCCCAACAAATTCAGTTTACTCAACAAGAGTGAGTGATTCACTGAATCAAATGCTTTGCTAAAGTCTGTCTAAATTACATCGGTTTGATATCCCTTATGAAAGCCATCTATGACAAAGGATGTCAACTCCAATAAGTTCGTGGTGGTGGAGCGACGCCTAATAAAGCCATGCTGACAAGGAGAGATGATTGAAGAGCAAAGGTGTTGCAGATGGGGAGTAACTAATTTTTCAAATAACTTTGGAATTGCCGACAATTTAGAGATGCCTCTGTGATTGCCGGCATCGGACTTTTTCCCTTTTTTATGTAAATATAAAAAGGTTTCGAAAGATAAGTTGGAAAGTTATATAAGGGGTTTGCACAAAGCACATTATTTTAGCACGCAGCCTATTCTCGGAGAAAAACGTACAGAAAATAAGATAAGCTAATTGAACGAAGGCGGTCTATACGAACATGTAATGTATAAAGATTTCTCGGACAAAATGATTTTAATGCAAATAAACTCAATGTCACCAAACTCTTGTGATGCCTTTTCAGAAACAAGAGTGGAGTCTACCAAAATGAGGATTCCACCCCAACTGGTTTTAAAACTATTTTCTTCACGGAACTACACTGATGTGCTTGGATGAAAATGCTCTCTGAACAAAAACTGGGTGAACAAATCGTCTTGAACATCAGTCTTGAAGACTTGCGCCTTACATAATTATATTTAAATTTAGCTATGTCCTCCACCTTTATATAGGCTTTTGTTTTGGCTTTGATATGATATCAATCATATATCAATCATTGAAGTATCAGGGGCAAGACGAGAAAAAAATATATGTTTCGATGGAGGAATCACCTGTAAGGGTTTTGGTGTCGCAGGTACGAGAACTACAGCATCAGTCGGTGCCGGGGGTCCGGACTGTGGAATATCCTTTTGGGTGAATCTGACGGGGGTTTCGTTTACTAGGACCTGTGGTATCACTTGAAGGGATACCGCGGAGGACATGTCGGGTAATTGCTCATTTTCCTTGAGAAATTCGGACGGCGAATTGTTCTAAGTTCTAACTATTGGCGGCTGAGCAGACTGAGGCGGATCACAAAGAGCGGATTTTTTACGCTTAGGAGGGGACTGAAGGCCGCTAAACTGACACTAGAAGCTGAAGGCCGCTAAACTGAGTGTCAAGCGCACAGAGCTGGTCATTGATTTTATGAAAACCAGTGATCAACTCTTTAAATCCATTCATAGTCTGTCTCATGAACGACTTCATTTCGTGTTGGACAGCACTAAAATTTTCACAACAATAAAGTAAACCAGACCTACGGGAAATGGCATCCGAAACTGAGGCAGTGAACCCGGCACACTTGGCGTGTACGACATTTTCACATAGCCAGCAATGGATGGTAGGCTGGGATGAGGAGATTGTCTTGTTACAAGACTTCATAGAACAGACCAGTTAAAATTCCGTATTATTAATTAACAAAACAAAATAAATATATAAAAAGTTAAAAAACAACTATACTAACTACTACTATATACAACTATAAGAATACTATACTATACTACTAGTATATACAACTATAGGAAGCCGAAGCGGAAGATTTAGAGCAGTGGTCGGCACCCCAATACATTGATATGATTTTACCGCATTAGTGTTAGAACCGAATAGCAGAAAGTAGGCTGTGAGCATGACGTTTCACACATGTATACTGTGTGAGTGTGGCAGAGCTCGGGCAGAGAAATTTCCTATGCCCCCGAGATAGGGCCGTGCCGACCTCTGCTTTAGAGAATGCAAAGAAAAAAAAATGCAGAAATTAAGAAAAGACGGGGAAGAAGCAGAGCTGAGCTATGCTTGGAATTGAATTTAAACAAATCATTAATTCGCCTCCAAATATACGACAGCATACGCGAACCGATACGGTTTAAGTTAAAACTTAAGATTCTCAATTGATTCGATTCACAAGCAACTAAACACCGGTTTACCAATATTGATAAACGCAATATTTACATAAACGCAGTGCGCACAAAAAAAACACGACTGTTCGCTTAAGAGGAAGAGAGAGAAGATTGATACTTAAAAACTAATACTTTCAAAATCGAAATATTACATTTACTCTTATTATACCCTTGCAGAGGGTATTATAATTTTGGTCAAAAGTGTGCAACGCAGTGAAGGAGACATCTCCGACCCTATAAAGTATATATATTCTTGATCAGGATCACCTCCTGAGTTGATATGAGCATGTCCGTCTGTCCGTCTGTCCGTCTGTCTGTTTCTACGCAAACTAGTCTCTCAGTTTTAAAGCTATCGTCTTGAAACTTTGCACACATCCTTCTTTCCTTTGCACGCAGTATATAAGTCGGAACGGCCCGGATCGGTCGACTATATCCTATAGCTGCCATATAACTGATTGATCGGAAATGGTATAACTTTGGTGTTTTTAAAGTTAGAGAGTTCAAATTTTAGGTGAGAGCTTTTTTTGGCAACATAATACGACATGCCAAATTTCATAAGGATCGGCCGACTATATCCTATAGCTGCCTTACAACTGAACGATCGGAAATGACCCAACTTTCGTGTTTTTGATGATAGAAAGCTGGCACTTGGTACAAATTCTATTTTTGGTCAGTTAATCCGATCTACCAAATTTCATAACGATCGGTTGACTATATCTTATAGCTGACATATAACTGTACGATCGGAAATGGTTTTTGGTAGAAATACCAACTTTGGTATTTTTGAAGATAGAAGCTTGAGACTTTTTTTAGATTTTGTATTGTAATAAATTGGATTATATATTCATATTCCCATAAGGATCGGCCAACTATATCCGATGTTTGAGATATATATCCGGTTTTAGCTGCAAGGGTATATCAACTTCGGCTCCGCCCGAAGTTAGCTTTGCTTTCTTGTTTTTATTTTATTATTATCTAAACTTTATTAAAACAAATATAAATTATATTTTTTATCGTTTCAGAGTGGCTGCTTCTCAGTTGGCTACACTTGGATGCCCCGAGCTAATAGCGTCTACAAGAGAAGAATATCAAAATATTGCTATACGCCTAGGAACTAAGCGGGAATACTTAAAAGCTCTTCGGGCAAAAGTTTGGAAAGCTCGTGTTGATAGTCCATTATTTGATTGCTCACAGTACGCCAAAGGATTAGAAAAATTATTTTTCCGAATGTGGGAAAAATTTGTTAATGGTGACTTACCCGATCACATTTCTGCCATAGAAGAAAAGTGAAATAATGGAATTGGTATTTAAGTGGCGCTTGAAGGTCAAGAATATAATTTCATTACGAATATATGTTACATTTATTCTGTATATTTCCGCAAAACATTAAAACAAAAAAATATTTCACACACCTACAAGTATTTTAAAGAAAGCTGTAAGCGTTCGAAATTCTGAAAAAACCTGTTTAGTCCTGTATGAGCAGCACAAATAGTATATTTGAATGATTTTATTAATTATATTAGTATGCTCTATTTTATATAATTACTTATAGCGACAGTGTTTCGGTCGACGACGCATCTTTGATCGGCTTGCGCATCTCTTATCGCTAAGATAATTAACACCTCATTATCACGGTATGCATTTGTCCCCTGTTCGAGCTTTGCGCATGTGCACCCGGCCTTGTCTCGCCCCCGTTTTGTGAAAAGAGGAATAATTACACAGCCACACAAAAAAAAAAAAAGTGTCCGGGTTGGGAGATCAGAGTACCCTATCCCCATATATTTTGGACCGCTGAACACGAATCTGAAGTCCATTTTGGTCCTGCACGTGTACGTTTCTTCCTAACCTCAAAAAAAGTTTTACATTTTTGGAGGTATGCGACTTTTTTTTTAATTTATTGGATTTTTATGAAACTGGGTACCCAGGGGTTTTTGGGGTCGCTGATTACGAATTTGAAGTCAGATTTTCAAAATTCAATATGGTCGACAAATTTGAGTCTAATAAGACACCTAGAACATTAGCCTTGTTTAATTTTTCTAAGTCAATCCCATAGAGTAAATACGTAGACTAAAGAGGGAAAGAACGATAAAAAGACAAAGACAATTTTCTTTATGATCCATTAGGTATTAAAGGGACCCCCCCCCCATTCTCGATTTTAAATTTTGACGATTTTCAATGGGCTGGCAAATGAACATAAATTATTTTTTAGGGTTGTAACTGTGCTTACATATATTAAGACACAAAAAGGAAGAAAATCATTTCACAGAATTTTTTTTTGTTTTGTTTTTGTTGTTGTTTTTTGTGATCAAAGAAAAGCCCTTCTTTTCGGCGGCGCATGTGATTTCCGCTCACCGCACATCTGAATCCAAAAATTCCAACGGGATTGGAAAAAGTACATGTTTGGCTCTCGTATGAACTTGGATTATTAGCTTCGCTCAAAAATTAACAAAATGGCGGACCTTTAAAATTTTTTTTTTTTTAATTTTCATTTTTTTTTGAAAATTTCCATTTTTTTCAGGCACAAATCGAGTTGAAAAGTAAAGAAGATCTTCACCGATTTGATTTATCCTAGTTCATACGAGAGCTATATATGTATAGAATAACGTGTTAAAATTTGGAACCGATTGGATTAATAGTTTTTGAGTAACCTCATGCGCCAGTCGTAAAAACACTGTTTCGAGAAAAACGCGTTTAAAGTTTTGAGACGGCTCTCGCCGTCGCCTGAGGCTTCCACCATAAATCGGCTATATCTTTAATAGTTTTTGAAATTTTTACTTGAAATTTTCAGGGAACATTCTTGAATAGTTACAAGTTCGAATTAAATTTAAAAAAAAAAATCGATTTTTTAAAACCGAGAATGGGGGGGGGGTCCCCTTAAATAATTCGCTAAACCCCATTTTTGAAAATTTCCGTGAACGGATTGAAGCTTGCATTGGGCAGCGGTTTTGTATTGACGACAAGCTTAACATCATCTGCATAGCGGCTTTGTATTGAAGACAAGCTTAACATCATCTGCAAATATAAGTACTAGAGAGTTAATAAAAAAGAGTAAACAGTTTCGGGCAAAGATGACTTTCATGAGAGACCCTGTGACTTTCCCTGTAGCACGGACCAAGCGGAAATTTACATTTTTAAATGAGACTTCCTTTTTTTCAATTTAGTAGATCGTTAAGAGGTCTGTAGGAAATCCCAGAAGATTCAGTTTACTCAACAGGAGTGTGTGATTGACTAAATCGAATGCTTTACTGAAGTCTATTCAAATAAAATCAGTTTCAAAACTTTTTCGAAAGCCATCTATGACAAAGGATGTCAACTCCAGTAATTTAGTGGTGGTGGAGCGATGCTAAATGAAGCCATGCTGACATGGGGAAATGATCGAAGAGCAAAGATGTTGCAAATCAGGAGTAATTAATTTTTCGAATAAATTTGGAATTGGCGACAATTCAGAGATGCCTAATACCCTCTATTATAATTTATTCCAAAAGTGTGTAACGCAGTGAAGTGGTATTCTTGATAAGGATCACCTCCGAGTTTATATGAGCATGTAAGATCGGCCGACTATATCTTATACCTGCCAACTTTTATGTTTTTCAAGATATAAAGTTGGAACTTCGTCCAGATCCTACCAAATTTATCGATCGGCGAACTATATCTTAAGCTGCCACTAACTGAATGATTGGAAATGGTACTTGGTATTTGGTAAAAATACCAACTTTGTTATTTTTAAAGATAGTAATTTGAGACTTTTTTTTAGTTTTTATTGTAATAAATTTTTTATGTTATACTATGATATTCTCTATTTCGAATGTTTCCAAGTAAGTACACAACTTTTAGACGTGATCGACCTCTGCGAAGGAGTGGTGGAGTCCTCATTTTGGTAGACTCCCAACTTGCTTCTGAAAAAATCACAAGATTTTGGAGACATAGAATTTATTTGCATTTAAATGATACTGTTCGTTAAATATTTATAAATTTCATGTTTATACATATATACCACATTCGTCTGAACAGCCCGCATATGGCATAAATTGTCCGCTATTCAATCCGTTTTTAATTTTATTACCGAGCGTGACCAGGGTTTGCATTTACTGCTCCGTAGCAGCGAGATGCATATAAATATGGCTTTGCTATTGCTACCGCTTTCACTTTTTCCGAGAGCGGGAGCAGAGCCGTAGCAGTAAAATGAAAATGAATTACAGTAACGACTGTCAACAGATAATTGCGCAAGATAAATTTCTGAAATTTTGGCGAGTAGCTATTATAATATGCACAATTTGAAGTAGAAACTTTTTTTTTTTTCCAGATGTGCCGCTAGCTTCACGTTGAGGTCGGTTATTTATCAGACAGCCCTCGTATCTCATCTTTTAGCTCTGGAATTGTTGCTGGCTTACCGACGTAAACCTTTTTTTCAAATAACCCCAAAAAAAAAAGTCCAACGGTGTCAAATCACATGATCTTGGCGGCCAATTGACATCGCCTATATCACGGATAACACGATATAGATAACACGGCCATTGAATTTGTTGAGCATAGCAGCTGAAGTCCTGTCCAATATAACCTGTCCATCCGTCTGTCCATATGAGCGAGTGGCTCACAGAGACTATAAGGGATAGAGTCATAGGATTTGGCAAGGAGACTCCTACAATGCCAACGCAGTTCAATTTTGTTTCAACATTTTGCTACGTCCCCTCCCGCCCACTCAAATAAAGAGTTTCTGTAGCGACAGTACAGAAAGGATTTTTGAAAAACTTTTTATGCCAATCTATTTTTATAGTTGATTTAATATATATCTGAAAAGCAAATTTAATTCAAAACCATATTTAGAGGATTTAAATTTTCCATACAAAATTAAAATTTGAACTCGTGAATCTTGAAGACGAGCCCAAAACTCTAAGATTTGGAATTTGTACTCGTATGGTATTCGCGTAGATCAAGTTTTGTCAAAATTTTGCCAAAATTATGTTTTTGGAAAATGTTCTTTAATGCCAAACTGTTCCAATAGCTAATCTACTCTTATAAATCAAAAAGTAGCCAAATTGGATAATTTTTAGACGAATTACAGATTTTTTAGTCTGTTTTCCTACTCAATTGGTAGTATGGCCGTAGAAGTGGGGCTACAGTTATTCTTTTTTTAATGGCGCAAAAGTATGTGTTGGAGCATGCACCTCCGCAGAGCAGTGGCGGAGAGAGAGACAGCGCAACTGTCTCTCACTAAGCACTGATCTCTTTATTCCATCTACTTCTTCACTTCTATTCTATATATAGATGTTGAGGTACATACCATTAAAAAGAATGAATATAAAAGATAGTGCAGGAAAATTATAAACAAGTAAAAATTGATGCTTAAAAAAAAAAAGCGGCAGATGGAAAATGCGCAAAGTTTGAAGTTTGTTTTCTCTTTTCACCGGCATTTATCATGTGACTTGCATGTACATCAGTGGGGGCAAAACGTACACATGTTTAAAATTTGAGTGTGTGCGTTTTTTTTTTTTTTTGTTTTTCTTATTACTCCTCTCGGGAGCTTAGGGCCTCTACAAGGGCTCTCCACCTAACTTTATTTTGCCCCAGCTGATGTTCTGCCGGGATATTTCTAGCAGTGCTGTACGGCGCCAGGTCATCTTTGGGCGACCCACTCTTCTGCATCCTTGTGGGTTCCATTCCAGAGCCATTCTTACGATGCTTTCTGGTCGATATGCGAATGGTCGTCAACGGGTTGGGGAGGTGGTTGGTTTCTTCTCTTCTTGTATTAGTTTCTTTAATCAATTGATTTTTCAGTTGTTCCGGTGATTAGCCAGATGCAACCTATCCCAGAGGTGGGGCTGCCACCTGTCGATATCTGGGAATACCGTTTTTGCCATGATTGCCATGAGTGGGGTTCGAACCCACGACCCACCGCTTAGCGTGGAGCTACACTACCCACTAGGCTATGGGCCCCCCCGAGTGTGTGCGTAGCAGAGAAAAACAATGAGAGCAAAGAATTCACTGAGCGAAAAAATTTAATTTTTCATTAAATCAAAAGTTGGAATGGACTTTGCTAGCAAAAGTTCTTTAAAAAATGAAAAGCTACGCTTCTCTATCTATATTTTCTATGGAGAAAACTTTTTCCAACCCAATTTCTGAGAAAATTTTTCTCAGTGGAAACATTTTGATTTTTAGTTTGGGCTGTCAAATGAATTAAAAAGAGAGCAAATGAGAGAGCTTCTAAAAAAATTTGAGTGTTCCGGCAGCGCTGCGGCAGAATTTCCTACCCTATACACGCGTGCTATGTAAAATGAGAGTTTGCCCACCACTCATGTACATACATACATGCAAAGGTGCATAAGAGAGAGAGAAAAGAAAAGAATAAAATAAAATATGATTTACGAATGCTTAAAATAAGTTCATGCATGTATGAACAATGGAAAAAAAAGA